GGACCTGGGGGAGCGGATGGTGTTTTTCGTACACTTACGAGTATGCGCTCTTTTACATGGCAGACCAGTAAAACTTCTAGGAGCCGCTTACTTATACATATTAGCCACTTCCCTTCTGTCCTGTGGATAACGTGGTCCTCATAGTGGAGCGTTCTACCTGTCCTGATTGGTGTGGTCGCATCTGTGCCATGCAACTTTTCCTCTCCCCTCTGGTTGCAATGGTGGTGCGTTTGAAAATAGGTCGCAGGTGTTTTGCAAGCTGGCAATATAAGTCCTTTTTTTGCAAAGGCGATCTGACTGACGACTGTCACCCATACCTCCGGCAACCGTACGCTGAGTCATCTCATCAGCACGTCGTTGACTATTCGCAGGCTCTAGAACTAGTGGCTAGCTACACTTCCTTTAACCTCTTCAATGATATTTATCGGCCTCCCTGTTTCTCCCTACTCCACTCGGCGGCGGCTCCCCACGGCCTCGCTCACACCCGGGGCGGCGCGTCGGCCGCGCGTCGGCCGCGCGCGGGCCGGCCGGGGTGCTGTGCTGTGTCGCCTGCCGCCGCGCCCGGCCCGGCCCGGCCCCCACTGGACGACCTCGGCAGGCGACAGGCCGCCGCGCCGCCGTCGCCGTCGCCCCGTTGTCGCGCCGGGGCCGCAGATGGCTATCTGCTGCCGGCAGGCGGCGCCAGCGGTGGCGGCCGTGGCGACGGTGACACCGGCCGCGCGACGACCGGACCGGCGCGGCGCGGCGGCCGTGCTGGTCCGGACCGGCCCGGCACGGCCAGCACGGCGCCGCGCGGTCGTGGTCACGCCGCGCCGCCCGCAGAGCGGCGGCCAGTTTCTCCGGAGCCCCCGCGCGGCTCCGGTGATGTAACGACTCCCCCGCTGCTGTTTGTCCGGCCGGCTGCTGTGTGTCGTGACTGCTGCTCGAGATATGGCGCTCCGCCGGCGCGCCCCACTATCGCCTGTTTGGACAGCACTTTCCGGTTCACACGGACGTGCGCGCCCGCGTGTGCGTACGTGAGTGATGGAGGCTGTCAGGACCTGATAGCTGGGGCCGGTCATGCGCGCGCTCTCCCTCCCTGACTGATCCTCGCTCACCGTCGAGCCGCCTGATTTGGCCCTTCATTAGCCCGGAGGACTGGTGAGTGGACCGGTGTGTGGACCGGTGTGTGGACCGGTGTGGACCGGTGGACGCCTCTGCAGGTGGAGCGCGGCGCGGCCGGACCCGTCCCGGCCCGGCAGGTCTGCTCTGTCGCCTCGGCTCCTAATCTGGTGCCGGTCGAGTGCGCTCTGCGCCGCGCTGATCCCATCAGGTGACGGAATGTGGCCTCCGCAACCATCCGGCTCCGGGCTTCGGCTGGACAGAGTGGACTCAGGCTGTGGGCTGGCTAGGGCCGGACCTGGGCGGGGTCCAGCTGGGCTGAACTGAACGTGCTGGAGTGGGCCATGGGCCGAGCGATTGTTGGGCGGGATTTTGACGTGCCCAGATATACCGAACTTTGGTATTTGAGCCACTTTGAAGTTACCGCAGCATCCAGCTGGATGAGAGCTGCACAAACTTTTCTGGGCTGAGCTGAAGACAAGTTCAGGAATAAACTTGAAAACAGCAGCTCGGCCATCGTGTGACGTTTATCCGAGGTTAGGTGAGCAATGAGCATCGTGCTTATGCGAGCATCTGCTTCGCTGCCCAGACCGTGTTTTTGAGGAATTTGAATAGAGACTTGAGAGAAACAGATACAGACACACGAGAGGGTTTGGTATATGCGCTGCATTTTTGGCACCAATATCGTGTCGGCAGGATCAAAGCCTGCAGTGGCTATGAGGATGAATCATGCATAAAAATGCGAACGCAATGAAACATGCATGACACATGCTTTATGCAGCACCATCGTCTCCAGTGCTCATTGAACATACATAGACGCAATCACTTCTTTGTTTTGAACGTCAATCGAAGAGAGGACATGTGATGCCAAAATCCACTTTGGGTTTTAATTGGTATGGCTTCCATAGGTTAGATGCACACAGTTTCGAGAACGGCCGCTTAACAGACTTATCGATGCCCTAAGAAAGCAGATCGTAAACATGAACAAATCAGCATCAATGTTTTAATGGAAATGTTAATGCTTCTCTACAACGTCCAAGATTACGCCATCACAAACGGCACCGTTCAGTGACCCCTGGTGACATGACTGTTGACCTGCTGTTTTACGGCACTAAGCTCACTCTGGAACACTGAGTGGGAACGAGCGCCGCATGTCTAGTGTAAAGGATATGTATCGGCCCCGTCGCAATGCGTCCCACCGCCGTGCTACAGGCGCTGCGGTAGGCGGTAGCTGCTGCCGACGGCGCCATGAATTCGTAACGCAACACGACGCCATGCGAGCGATTGCGAAGCAGCGCGCTACCGGGTGGAAACACTGTTGAAGATGGGCGATTTAAATTGCCTTTGCCGACAACCACAGACTGGTGACATTCCATCCACTTTGCACGCGCAGCTTAAATTCTAAGTACAGCTTGATGCTTGCTATTTTATTTGCAGCATTCATTTGCAATGTAGCAATTAGATTAGCATCACATTAAATCGAAATTTTCTGTGTCATATTGTAAGCAAATTCATTTCGATGCAGTGATGAATTTCAACTCGGAGATATACGAATGCCTACATACACCCTACTTCCACATAAATCATAGCTTATTAATTCATAATTGTATCCCGGTCGTATCAATCGTCGCTGCCCAGGCGTCGGGTCCGACCCGATTGTTGTCTCAGTCGAGGTCACATGTCCACTATGCATACCCTGTGAGTGTCGGAGCTGTCCATGTCTGACGCGACAGGACAGTGGCGTCACCGCTCCTGTTCACAGCTCCTCGATAAGATAGCCCCTGCATTGAACAATCCCCGGAGCTATGACCGGCGCCATATTCAGGCCTGCGTACACACACACCGGGAGCGACTGACGGATGGCGCCGTCACCAATATATGTATCGTCTCCCTGTGACACCTCCGGGACTCGTCACGGTGGCGAGGCGGGAGCGATACCAGCGGACTTAACGGCGATATTATACCGACATGAGCACCTCCGGTCGGGCAGTCATGTCGGCAAAGAATAGAAATGACCATGGGAATGATATTAATCCTGTACCCTAAACCTGAATTAATCAGACATTTTGCTGTCTAGGCTGACAGCTTTTCATCCTTTCTGTCCGGGGATAGTTGCAGTGACAGAGACACCGCACAAATTATCTCGTCATCGCGCCGGCAAATGGGGGCCGTTTTCCGGTAGTTGGTCTGTGGCGCTTTAGTATGGCCGTCCCACAGTGGTAATGGGAGCGGCACGGTCGTATACGGCCCGTGCGCCTGAGAAGGCACGGACCCGCACCGCCCGTGTCATCTGGGCCGTGAAGGACGGGTGCTCTGTCCCCTGTCAGACGGTCCCGGACCCCATAACGGGTCACTGGGCGGGCCGGGACCGGCGTCTGGTCCCGGTCTTATAGTCTCCTCTCAGACCGGGGCGCGGGGCGGAAAACGGTGGTCCCGGTTCGGTATTGTCTGTCGCCAGGGACAGAGAACAAGACGACTTAAGAATAAACTTAACTGAACAGTGCATACTAATTAAAGAACGCTCGGTTGCAAGTTTCATGATTATGAATATAACTTTAATGAAAAGTGTTATTTTCTGGGTCTTTTTTTAAATATATTTATCAACATGAGGCTGTTTTAATTACGTTTATATTTAAAGGTGCATAAGTTGAAGTACGGCAATGTGCATGAACAGTATATTCTACCTAACACGTAATGATAACCCTGGGTACTGCACCATGTGCCCTGTGAATTAAATATAACGGTGTTTTGCGGGCAGCCTCGATCCGTCAGGGGAACTGATAAATGTCAAACATATCAGCATGTCAATGAGAGCGACTTGACAGCAGTGCGGTGCATGATACCACAAATAGGATTATGTGACTATCAAGGACATGTTCGAGTTCGTTCGTCGAATAGGATTTGCTAAATAAAAGCAAATGTTAGAGCTCATATCACGGGGCTTAGAGTTGTCGGCATATATTGGCATTGGTTATCTGGCGAAATCCTAGCGTAAATCCCTTTTACACAATGATTCACAAACTTTTTTTCCTAATACTTGACTACCTGTAAAATGCCGAAGCTGATGAGGACAGCGTAGTGTAAATCAAGCTTCGTGGTGCAATTAGAAGTTAGCACAATTTGAGGCTCAGATACTGCAGGATTCAGCTCAGACACCACAGATACCAACTTAGGTCCTACAGAAGACACCAGTGGGTCGTGCTCGGCCCCACAGGGCCCTGATCAGCCTCCACAGGGTCCTCAGCCCCCTCCCCTCCCCATAGGGTCCTGCTCGGACTCCCTAAGATCCTGTTCGGCCCCCTACAAGGTCCTACTCAGGAAGAAGACCCGCCCTCACGCCATACGGTTTGACTCAGACCTCACAGTGCCCTGCTGGGACCTCACAGGGTCCTGCCCAGACCTCACAGGGTGCTGTCCAGACCCCACAGAGTCCTGCCCAGACCTCACAGTGTCCTGCCCAGACCTCACAGTGTCCTGCCCAGACCTCACAGTGTCCTGCCCAGACCTCACAGTGTCCTGTCCAGACCTCACAGGGTCCTGTCCAGACCTCACAGGGTGCTGTCCAGACCCCACAGGGTCCTGCCCAGACCCCACAGGGTGCTGTTCAGACCCCACAGCCGGCCAGCCGGCGGCGCTCTGCACCCACACGCCCTCCCGGCGCGGCCGGTGACAGGCGCACCATGTGTCCCCTCCGCTGCCATCAATCACTCCGGGATGTGTGTGTACATTTGCCGAGCGCACCGACATGCACCGAGCTGCTGCTCCGACACTGACGGCGCTGGGGCGTCATAAACCGGCGACAGCCGCCGCCCGGCGCCCAGACTATGACTGCAAACCGTCCCTGACGGCGGCTGACTGGTGGAAAACTGACGCGGTCTTCTCTCCCCACTGTGTTACAGGCAGCTGCTATGTGGGCAACCAGGATCTGCAGACCCTGCTCGGCTTCGTGCTGATCCCGGCGTTTGTCTACCTGGTGGCCGGCATCTCCTTCCTGCTGGCAGGCTTCCGCGCCATCTTCAGAGAGCGTGGCCAGGCGGTCCGCTCGCGCAGCGTCGAGCGGCTCGAGATGCTCACCATGCGTATCGGCATCTTCGGCGTCATCTACACGGTGCCGGCCACGTGTGTGCTGGCCGCACTGCTGTACGAGTACACGTCGCGCGAGCAGTGGCTCACGCAGCTGGACGTGCACCCCAACGTCGAGATTTTGATGCTGAAGATCTTCATGACGCTGATTGTGGGAATCATCGGCGGTCTGTGGATGGCCAGCCTCCAGCCGTGTCAGGTGTGGCGCCGCAGTCTGCAGCGCTTCCAGAAGCGGCCCGTGCCGCCGTATCTGGAGCGCGTGCCCACCTCCTGCCCACACCACCACCACTCGGGCTCGCTGGAGCCGGCCACCAGGCCCGCCCGCCACCACAGCCGGCGCCCGCGCGACGCCTGGCGGCCCGGAGGCGAAACACAGGTGTGAATCGCTACCGCAGGTGGCGCTGCCGGCGGAACTAAATGCGCCTATGGACGCTGGAGAATGGATCTATGTGCAGCAACGTGCGGCTAATCAGGGTATTTTGTGGACTTTGGCAGCGCTGGTGACGCTGCCTTGTGTTGTGCTATTTTGCAGCCGCGCGATGGGGCGATGGAAAGCTGTTTATGGGTTCCTGAGCATTACCATGTGTCGTTATTTATGTGCCATGTGCCGCGGTGGTGCTCCGTTTTTGTTTTGGTGTACTTTGAGAGTTATGGACATTCGTCGTTTTTGCAGAGCTAGGTGTGCCATTGTGTGAAGAGTATATGTTTGTATGTGTTGTGCTTGATTAAGCACCCCGTCATGTTGCATGGCAGATGCCGCGTCCAAGCCATGTTGCCATCGTAAGATGTTGTTAAACATGCCTAAATCGCAAGATACTTGATATGCACCCAGTCCGATAGTATCACTGCTTTTGCTATCTTTTAGCAAGCTGAAATATATTTTGAGCCGTACCGATGTTCTTACCCTGGCAGGTATTGAATATCGGTGTAATTTAAGCATCGATAAATGTGGTGTTCCAATATCTCTATGGCATATATTCATGTCACCTTTGAGCTTCAAAGAAGTGAATTCATTCCTTTTTAACACAGCGATGCTGCGATTATTCTTTAAGCTTCTTGCGCAGCTGAATAACCTATTGACGAATGCCTCGTGCGCGACTTCCACTCGTAAGGAGCAGAATGAGATGTGAATATGGATTATTCCGCGATAGGTGAGCTCATGTGTGTGATGAAGTTCGGTCCGTTTTTATTCTGACAGTTGTGATATTCAAGTTCTTACACCTCCTTTTCACCTGTTTCGGATTAGTTTTTGCTTGGTGATCTGTGTATGGCGTGATGTAACTATATTGTAGTGTATCGTGTATTGTCCTCTTTAACTGTGAGGGGTGCGTGTGATCGGCTGCATGTGTACAGAGCTACCATTTTAAGCACATCCAGCTATCATTACCCACATCCTATGTTTTAACGACAGGTTTCGATTATTTGCCACCGATTAGCATTATTATCGAACGCTCTTGAAACTGCGGTAGAATGGGAAGCCTGTGACCGTCCCTTTACAAATTTGTTACATACTAGCATTTGCATCCATCTTAGGCCAAACCAAGAACATTTACGATGAATGTTCGAAAAAAAATAGCTCAGCCTTTGAGAAAGCTTTGCCTTTGAAGCCGTTCAGACTCATCCAGCTGGATGTGTTTTCTCTCACAAACGCTAGGTGGCAGCTCTGGAGTGAAAGACTGTACCTATCGATGCATGTTCACAATAAAATGTCAATGTTATTTTCTGTTTCTTTACATTTCACTTAGATTTGGCTTGTTACACCACAGATAACACTTGTTGCCTATCTACGAAATGATATCTGCCGATCGAAATGCGCACCATACACTACAAGCAGCCTCTCGACGGTGTCATACTCACTCTGAATCCAATTTTCAATCAAGTGCATCTGAGCCTAACAGCCTAGCAGGGCTCCACGAGGCCAGCCAGTAGCCCTGTGTTACCCTGAAATTGCTCACAAAGCCCAAAAACGCGGAAAACGCATTTCAAACGTGTTCTTCTCACGTCGACCGCCGGCCGGTGGTGCCACTCCCCCTCCAATTGGTGTTTCAATATCGCTTTAGCGATAGAAAGTTGAAAGTTTGCATATTGACCTTTGAATCTAGCCAGAACTTGTGACAACAACCGCATTTACAGGTCAGGTCAGGTCACTGACCTGGGCTGTCACGTCAGTGGACCTCTGCACGGTACAAAACTATTGCGACCCTCGCGACGCCTTCAGTGGCAGGGATTTCTCACCATTGCATTAATCTCACCGCATTCATCATGCGCCCCACCATCACCACACCACGTTCTGTGCACTCAGCAGCTCACAGCACGCCCCACTACGGCCGGCCCGCCTGGCCAAGCATGGGCGGCACACGGCTGTTACTACCCCGGCACAAACATGTGATTTGTTGTTGCTCCCATGCATTTGAGTGTGTCAAGGTCACCTGAAGGTCAGGTCAGGTCATTGACCGTTGATGACCTCGGTCCACTTTTTCGAGTTTTACATCTTTCTAGGCAAGTTTTTTTAGATGAATTCGAATTTAGCAACCATTTGAACATTTCCGAAGTTATAGCTATGGTGTCTTCGTAACATGTTACGAAGCTGTCAGAGGCGGTTGACACGTACTACGAATACCCGGCGGGACCCCCACTGGCTGACCTGACCTGACCTGACCCGACCTGGCTTAACCCTATTCCTGGCGGGGGGGGGGCCTCAGGAGCCCCCCCCCCTGAGGTTTTTTGGTTATATCTCCCAAACGCGTTGAGCTAGGAAGCTCAAATTTTCTGACTTTTCCTAAAAGGCTTCTACGCAACATGTCTGAAAATTTTGAGTTGATCTGACCTCAGGTCAGGTCACCAGAGGCGGTTTGGTGACGCTACCTCAGAAAAGTTTGCAATCACGCCAGAGCTAGAGTTTTTGACCGATGAATTTCTTCTCTTCAGGGTTTAGTTAGGGTACCAGTATGTGCAATTTGTATATCTCGGAATTTTGATATCGGTGACCTAAGGTCAGGTCAATTTCGCGACCTCCCCATTATAAGTCAACGGGGGAAAAATCAACTCCCTGTTTTTACCACTAAAACGGGTCGGAATGGCCCCATATACCATACATGACTTCATATACGATCAACCTTCACTACCTTGAGGTCTGTTTTGCTGTTGGGCAGCTGTGAGGTCATGTGACGTCATCAAAGGTCACCAAAGGTTTTTGGCCAATAACTCCGTACAGGAACAAGATACAGACGCGTGGATGGTCTCATTGTGTTCAGCTCGTCAAGACGCATCGAATGATATACATGATGACCTCGAGGTCACGTGACCTGAGGTCAACCTTTGACCTTGACCTTTCGAGGTCAACATATATATCATTCGATGCGGATTGACGAGAGGATCACGATGATGCCCTTAGTTTGTTCCTATCTTGACTAATTCGAAAGTTATTCGAGAAAAACTCTCTCCATATCTAGTGCCGCCATTTTGACTTTTTCGACCCCTGTGACGTCATCTTTGACCTGACCTGAAAATGACCTTTGTAAAAATTGTAGATCTTGGCCGTGCGTATCCGATGCCGTTTTCCGCTTGTCGCTATCTTGCTTCGTTCTCGAGATCTCAGGGGGGGGGCCGAATCGGCCCCCCCCCCCGCCAGTTTCTTGTCCCGGCGGAGCCCGCCAGGAATAGGGTTAAATGCATAAACACATCATCTGTGATAAAAACTAGCATAATATTCGTGATCAGCACTCCCAAGAACCCCTTAGCAGCCACACCTTCCGTCGTTCTAACAGGTCCCGATTTTCCCATTTTTGGGTCATTGGCCTGACTTGGAAGGTCAACTGTTGACCAAGGACCTTAAAATTGGGCATCATCGGCTTCCTCTCGTCAGGGGCAAATCCTTTTTTCCGTCAAACTTCAGCTCGATGAGGGGCCAAACGCGATCGTAACCCCCCCTCCCCCCAATTTGCGCCGTCGAAGGACGCAAAAGTGCCGGGTGAGGGTTAAAATTGGGCACTAGTCGCTGGTCTCGTAACAACGTGCAGTGCACACGCTTTTTTAGTAGTTCTAAAACCTATTTATGGGCGTAACGACGATTGGAAGGTTCATGTTAGAGAGAGAGAGAGAGAGAGAGAGAGAGAGAGAGAGAGAGAGAGAGAGAGAGAGAGGGAGAGAGAGAGAGGAGAGAGAGAGAGAGGGAGAGAGAGAGAGAGAGAGAGAGAGAGAAAGAGAGAGAGAGAGAGAGAGAGAGAGAGAGAGAGAGAGAGAGAGAGAAAGAAAGAGAGAGAGAGAGAGAGAGAGAGAGAGAGAGAGAGAGAGAGAGAGAGAGAGAGAGAGAGAGAGAGAGAGAGAGAGAGAGAGAGAGAGAGAGAGAGAGAGAGAGAGAGAGAGAGAGAGAGAGAGAGAGAGAGAGAGAGAGAGAGAGAGAGAGAGAGAGAGAGAGAGAGAGAGAGAGAGAGAGAGAGAGAGAGAGAGAGAGAGAGAGAGAGAGTTACAAACAACTGTTGCGGTAACATAGGTATCCTCAGATCTGACATCAGGTCAACGGTTTGACCTATAGGTTGAAACAGATAGTCAAAATGAGGGGCTGTTTTGTATCATTTGTATGCACCTAGTAAATACATATCCAGCAAACAGAGCAGGCTGCTTTAAATCCACTCAGCCTGGCCCACCAATCTTCAGTGCCCGGCGCTGGCGTGGCGGTGGTAGGTACGGCCACAGACCGGCCCTGCGGACGGCCCGGTGCCGGTGAAGGCTCGCTCGCCCCCCGGCCGGGACGAACAGGTCAGTCGTGCGTCGGCCGAGCAGACAGAAGGACGGACCCGACGCGCGGCCCCTGGGGAACATCGAGCCAGCCCGCGACTCCACGTCACCTCAGGTAAGTTCGGGATCCATCAAAAAGTCAGAGCCAGCCCACGACTTCGCGTCACTTCAGGTGAGGCTGGGGTCCATCAGACACACTGACCCAGCCCGCGACAGAAAGAACTGTTGGTTCAGTCAGTAAACGAGTGAATGAATTACCTCACGATCCCATGTCACTTCAGCTGAGTCTGAAACCCATAAGAGATACTGAACTAACTCACGATTCCACGTCATTCCAAGACAGCTGGGCTTCTTCAGAGTCTCTAGATTAACTCACGACTACCGTCACTACAGGTAAGATGGGATCATTCAGAGGCATATAAAGGGTCGAATTTGATTATGGCTGGATCCAACCGCAGATGCGTTACAATGGTCAGCCTATGTATGTTCAAGGATCGCCAACAGTATCATATCGCCGACAATTCAAATTGTGTTGTGACTTGTGAGCTCATTTTGGCATTTGATGCCTGATGTGTCAGGAGAACTACAAAACGATAGAACTCAACTGATGACGCTTTTATTTGGCCACTGCATAGTGCATGGACCTGTTGCTTCTCATGATAAAAAAACTAATCCGCAAACACACACCGTAATGCATTCAGTAGTTCGTTCCAGAGCCTCTCCTTTATATTTGGCTTGGACTGTCCCCAATTCCATAGCTTTCGGAGAAGAGACTATGATAAAGAAGCTATAAATCGAAGAATTGAAGCTTTGAAAAATTGGGGAAACCGATGAGCGAGACAAGTTTACCAAATACAAAACCCAAAGGGCTCATTCATGCAAAATGTAATGTTTACCTACATTCTGCACTCCTACAATATTTCAGATTTCTTGTGGGGTTGTTTTGTGTTCCGCTTCTTGTTTTTACCTTTATCTCAAGAAGGCACTGCAGTTACCATACATATGCATGTCTTGTCAAGTCAGTGGCCAGCACAGAGGCCAGTTTGCCAAAAGTCACCTACACTACACCTACACTCAAACATCTTTTTTAGGTAAACTATTGGATGCATAGGAAAATTTCGCCCGTGTAACCCCAAGCTATAACTCTGAGGTCATCTACTTTGGGTCATACGTGGTCATCAGCAACTTTCTACCATAGCATTTGATAATTGATGGCCATGTTATAAATATGCCCCTGCTGATAAAAACGTTACACGTAATAACATGTACTCAGTTGATCTTCCTGGTAGTAAGTTCATGTTTTCTTTATAATATCTTCGCATCATCCCAATACATCAAGCATAGCGTAAGGTAACGATGAGGTAAGCGTTTGATGTATGATGGATTTTTATTTTTTAAATCTATTGTATAACTATTTGTGGTGAATGCTTCTGTCTGTGACAGAGGTCCCAATATGGTGACCCTTTCTCCAGGCTACAGCCCAGACCATTGCCCGTAGCGCGGTGAAATTTGTACAACTTACATACCTATAGACCAAGGGTGCGCGGGATGCTTTTGAGGGGCCTGAGTTCGGGTCGCTAGTGAGCGCCTGGCGCATTAAAAAAGGCGAATTCGCGGCATAGAGTTTTCATGTTAAAAACGGGGTGCGAAATCGGACGAAAATGACTATAAATATGGGCGACACCGGACACGGTCCCGGTCCCGGTGCAATATCTCTAGCCACGCATCCGATCGGCACGGGGTAAACACTATCGGGTAGATAATTGAGGGGTCGAATGTTGCGCGATGACAAGGGTAGCACACGCCACGTGCACCAGAAATGGCACTTTTATTTGAAAAATTGTCATTTTTGTCGGTGGGGATATTTGGTCTACAATTACCAACGTCTGTATGATATTCGTATCGGCGGTGTCGGTAGACGTAGATTGTTTATTGAAAATTGTTCTGATGGTGTCATTTGGAAGACCAATAAATGGCTTTC